GCAGGAATGACGTTGTCTGTGGGAGTCGCTTGGGAAGCTGAAAGGGGACTCACCGGATTGGTGCTGGTCTAGAGCCTTCTGGGACGTGTGAGCCGTTACCCAGGGATGTAAACGTCGAGTGGCCTTCGTGGGAGCCTGAATGTCTCTGCATTAACCTTCCAACCCAGCTTCATGCCTACGTCCAAGGAGCTTAAAGAACTTTTAACCATTAACTTCATGCTCCCACAGTGTTCTTTTATGAGAGGAGTTATAGGGAATGGTTGCATTATAAATCCCATTGTACGCATCTCAGAAAGGATACCCCAAGCTGAGTTTTTCCCACGTGTCCGGAGGAGAGAGGTCTGTTCTCAGGACATGGGGGGCCTCACGCCTTGTGGATGCCCCGGGGGCTAGGCTTTTTCTTTCTTTCATGGGTTTTTGTGGGATAGTCACCACGTCTCTCCCTGAGGGGAGGGAGCAAGGTGGAAATAGTCAGAAAGGTGTTGGGTGTTTTTTTTCTGTTTGTTTTTTTTAGCTATGGATCTGAATGGCTCCCAAGGCATACTAGGGTGTTTTGAGCTGCTCCCCACTTTGGGGTGTGATGCCTGGGAGGACTACGTTCTCCCACCCTGCATGTCTCAGCTCCACCAACAGAGGCAGCCAGCCCTCTGCCTGCATCCTGCATGGCCTGGGCCTGCCTCCTGTGCCTTTGCCTTGCCGAGTGGCAGGTGCAGAGAGCTGTGGGGCTCCCACCGGCCGCCCCAACAGCCCCTGGCCGTGTACCAGGGCCAAGTATGCGGAAGGCCCAGGCTCCCGGTCTCTGTGGACAGAGCTTCTGATTCGGTTTACGGAGCTCAGGGGGAGGAGGTCTGGGAGTTCTCTTTCTCTGTTTATTTCAAGGCTGGCCCTCCCTTAGGATGGAGGAGGCCCTTAGCCACAGAGCCCTTATGACCTGGCCGTTTTTACAGCCAGTGGGTGGCTCAGAGCTTAGAGGAGACCCCCCGGTGTCACCGCAGTGGAGCCTCTGCAGCCGAGGGGGAGGCGCTCAGTCCTCCACGTGAGTCTGCGTGGATTTGACACGCCAGGCAATTGTGTTGCTCTTCCTTTTGTGAAGCTAAAAAGCTTTATGCAGCATGGCTTCTATCCATGCCCTTACCTCATTTTTTATAGTAAGCCCAGATTTCCCCATATTGAATTAGCTCAAAGGGGGATACCCGGAGAAGAATCTTGCCCCTTTTTGGAAGCTAACTGTGAGCCTGTGTATGCAGAACCTAAGCCATTCTTGCTTGAAATTATGGAGCAGAGGGTTTTAAAACCTTAATTTTTTAGGAGGGGAATCCCAGCCCCTTTGGAAGCCCGTAGAAGGCATGGACCTTTGCCCCCTCAAGATGCACGTGCACACACGCACTTTTGTCCTCAGTACGGGGTGTCCTCTGAATCCAGCTGTGAATACTCTGTGGGCTGCGAGGGCTCAGCTTAGCAGCACGTGGTGCAGAGAAAGTCTGAAGTGATGTGAAATCCTCCCAAACTCCTCTCCCTCTTCCTGCCCGGAAGTCCTCACAGTTGCTTTCAGGCCCCATGAAGTTTGATGTGATTTTCTCAGGTACCTTAGGTCTGCCAGAGGATGGAATTATTTCACGGTAGAGAAAAATGCCCCCTCGTTTGTGAGGTTTGCTGGAAAAGATTTGGCCTTGGCATCCAAGGCCTATATATTTGTTCTGACTTTTGACCCTATTGACCCCAAATTAGCTATTCGACACGGAGCAGGGCAGTGCTGGGCCCTTCCCGCTTCACCAGTAAGATGATTTGGAAAGTGTTTCTGGTTCTAAAATTGACTTTCATGCTGTTTCAACCAAATTTTCATCAGCTAACAGAAGCAACCGACGGGTTAGAGGAAACTGATCTGTAATTTACCTAATGTTCCTAGATGATGCCACAGAGAAGGACCTTTCTGATCTGGTGTCAGAGATGGAGATGATGAAGATGATTGGGAAACACAAAAATATCATAAATCTCCTCGGAGCCTGTACTCAGGATGGTGAGTAGGAGGAAAAAGAGCTTTCATCCACATAACCCAGGGTTCAATGTCAGCACTGTTTTAAAAATGGATGGACTCTTAGATCCTGCTCCTAGGGCCTCTCAAGTGCATGTTTAAAGTTTTCCTTAAAAACCCCCTCAGGGGGAATTCCCTGGCGGTCCGGTGGTTAAGACTCTGAGCTCTCACTGCCTAGGGCCTGGGTTCAGTCCCTGGTCAGGGAACTAAGATCCCACAAGCTGGGACTTCCCTGCTGGCACAGTGGTTAAGAATCCACCTGCCAATGCAGGGGACACGGGTTCCAGCCCTGGTCCAGTAAGATCCCACATGCCACGCGGAGCAACTAAGCCCATGCGCCACAACTACTGAGCCTGCGCTCTAGAGCCCACGAGCCACAACTACTGAGCCCACGTGCCACAACTAGTGAAGCCCACGTGCCTAGAGCCTGTGCTCCGCAACAAGAGAAGCTACCGTGAGGAGAAGCCCGCGCACCGCAACGAAGAGCAGCCCCCACTCACCACAACTAGATAAAGCCCGCACAGCAACGAAGACACGACACAGCCAAAACTAAATATTTACGAAAGTAAATAAGAAAAAAAAGAGTAAAATCCCACAAGCCATGTGGTGTGGCCAAAAAAACCCCAAAAAAACAAAACCCTTCAGGAAGTGTTCCTGGCCACGAACACAAAGAAGATGTTATGACTGTGCCTGGGTTCTGGGGGCGGGAAGGTGGGCATTGGGCAACTCTGGATGGGAAGGCCTATAGCGTCCTCCTGTTTTTAGGGTATAACCTGGAGGGTTTTCAGAAAAGTCAGCCTCCTTATGTTTTCGTTTTGTAAGTGCTAAGAGAGATTTCTCCAAATAAGATCCTACATTTTGGTTGAGCTAAGTTCTTCCCTTAAAGTGGGGATTGAGGAACCCATGTCTTTTTATGGGTACCAGGTGGCTGAGCTCCCACGAGTGGCCTGAAAGAGGGGAGACAGATAGGAAGGGGCACATTATCTTCCTCAGGGGAGTGAGACCCCTGGCTTCTCTCATGGATGATCTGTGGCACTTTGCGAATCAGTTTGATGTTAATTAATAAACTTGAAAACGCCTGTCTTTGCCTCAGCAATTTCCCTTTGAGGTCTATACCAGGAGTCAGGAGACTTTTTCTGTAAAGGGTGATTGTAAATATTTTCGGATTTGTGACAACTACCCATCTCTGCTGACGCAGTGAGAAAGCTGCCACTCAATACAGAAATGAATGGGCCACGTTGTGTGCCAGTAACATTTACACACAAAAACAGGCTCGTCTATACCATGGGGAAATTATTGCACATATATATACAGAGACGTGCGTAGCAGTGTTCACTGCACACTGTTTGCAATGGCCCAAACCCGGAAACAACCCATAGGGGGATGGAGAAATAAATGTGGTATATTTATATGATAGAATCTATGTAACTGTTAAAAGGAATGATCTAGATCTATTTTTATCAGCCTGACTGGCTTCCAGAAAGATAATATGTGGGGGGAATACTGGTTGTCTTTATTACTCATTGATGTGATTAAAAATAATACATTGTTTATTGATACATAGGTATCTGTAAAATAGTTAAAATGCACTACAAGGACCAAATTTATGGTAGCTGTTGCTTTCCAAGAGGGCGCAGGTGAGAGGCTGGGCGAGACAGGGAAAGGACACTCACTGTAGTATCGCTGTTTTATTTCTTAAAGACTGTTGAGTCTATCTCGACCAAGCGTCGGTTGTCATTTGGGGGAGATTAGAATGCCAGGTGTTCTATTTCTGTGTGTGCTTTCTGTATGTTTAAATTTTTTAAAAAGTGATAAAGCACTGGGTTGTAATAAGTAAAACTCCTTTGCTGAGTTGCCCCAGGGCAGATCCGGGCTTCCCTGCCTCTCCAACTTGTGTTCTCGTCCACAGGGCCGCTCTATGTCATAGTCGAATACGCCTCAAAGGGCAACCTCCGGGAATACCTCCGTGCCCGGAGGCCGCCCGGGATGGAGTACTCCTATGACATCACGCGCGTTCCCGAGGAGCAGATGACCTTCAAGGACTTGGTGTCATGCACCTACCAGCTGGCCCGGGGCATGGAGTACTTGGCTTCTCAAAAAGTGAGTCCTTCCCATTCTCCTTGGTTGGGTGGATTCCAGTGAAAAATGTCTTTGAAGAAAACAGACCATTGGGACGTGCTCGTTTGCTGAATCAAGCCCTTGCCTGTCTTGTACGACCTGGAGACTATGTCTTGCGTTATTCACGCTGGGGTTTAATGAACTCTTTAAAAGCCAAAGCCTCATAAACCAGCAGTGACACCACAGAGATGAGCAGAAGAGATGTCTCTTTTCGCAGGCACGGCTGGCTGTGGTCTGCCAGGGAGTCGGCTCTCCAGGTGGACAGCAGTTGGGTTAGGGGGGGCGCTGCCTTTAATTCTGAGGATTTTTTGACTTTATTTGTTTTGTGGTTATTGAGTCTTTGGACGTGGACTTCGGGTGTTGTCTTCATGGTTTTGAGTTTGAAATGACGTTAAATAGTCTAAGAACAAAGATCAAATGAAGGGGTATTTTGGTAACATCGAGTGCTGGGTATCCGCTGGATTTATTTTGTCTCGTTTGGCGGGGTGACCCTCTGCGGTTAGAAATTGGCCAGGTCCCCTGAGGTGAATCGCCTGCATTCCGAGCATGCCACACGCAGTGGACTTGAAACATCTGAGTTATTGTGAAAGCAGTTAGACAGGTGCCCAGATATCCCCTGGGGTATTTGGACGGCCCAAGACACCCTTCCTTGGCCCACGCTTGGGGTAAAGTACAGACCTACCTTCTTGGGCAGAGGTGGGTCAGTTCCTAACTGCGCTGGAGCTTAATGCAGCATCAGGGATTCCTCTGGTCCCCGAAGAAGTAAGAGCCTCTGGTGGGCGTGGACCGTCTGTCCCCTTGTGGCCTGGGCTGGGTCCTGGCCATGCCAGTCACGTGAGTGAGCGAGGCAGCCCCTGTCACATCACACCGAGTAGGGATTTGGGGACCGGTGGCTGCACCTCAGCCCCTGCTGTCTGTAGCCATGTGGGAACACGGCCAGAGCCACCACATGTTCTGTTTTTGTTTTTTTATTTTCAAGAGAGTCCAGAGTTGAAGATTTTTCAGAGCTTTTTTTTTTTTTCCTGTAAGATGTCCCAAAGTATAGATTTTAGGAAACCGAAGCAGGGTTGTGCGATTGTGTACACGTGCGTGTGCACAGCGGACTTTGCCAGCTGACAAGTCTTTGTCAGGAAGAAACAATCAGATCTAGAATGTGGGACATTTGACAAGACATTGCTTCAAAATGTCAGTGTCCCAAAAGACAAAAAAATGCTGGGGAGATGGTTCCAGATTAAAGGAGGCTTAAGAGACGTGACAACTGAATGTACAGGTGTGATCCCGGAAGGGATCGTGTTCTGGATGGGAGGTGGGGCTGCCACTTTTATAAAGGACATTTATGAACAATTGAAATGTGAAATTGATAGGATAGTAGATAACGTGACTGTTTCAATGTTAAATTTGGGGGTGGTGATAGAGGTCTTGTGTAAGGTGGGAGGTATGTGCTAATGAGGTCTGCAGCTCACTTTTAAGTGGTTCAGCCATAAGGTGTGTGTGTGTGTGTGTGTGTGTGTGTGTGTGTGCGCACGTGCGTGTGTGTGTGTGTGTGTGTGTGTGCAGGGAGGCTGGGTATAGAGAGAAAGAGAGAGCAAGAAAGCCTAACAAGTGAATCTGGCAAACCTGGATAGCTGTTGTTCTCTTTCGCCATTTCTGTAGCTTGGAACTATTGCTAAATAAAACCCTGGGGAGGCAGCCTGTCCGCAGGCTGCCTGTCCTGAGCCTCTGGTCCTGGTCGCCCTCTGTCCTCCTGGTGTGGGAGAGGGAGGAAGGAGTTTTTGGACTCAGCAGGGCGCTGCTACTAATCCAAAGTGGTGGGAGACTGGCCTGGCCATTTTATTAATCCTTCAACGAATATTGCTGAGCGTTCCTGATTCGGATGCCTGGTATCCTGGGTCAGGTGACCAGGATGGACCTAGTCCTTGGCCTCTTGGAGCAGGAACTATGGGCGGCAGCAGGTGAAATCAACAATAAATGTGGGCCTAAAATAAGTATGTGAAAGGCTGAGAACCGGGCTGTGGAGGAAACTGACGGTGTGAGGTCAGATACAGGGGGGACTTGGGAGGTTGCAGGGGGAGGTGAAGGGCGAGCCCTCCCACAGAGGGACGGGCTGTGTGGAGCCCCTAGGGCGTCAGGGCCTGACAGCCTCAGGCAAGGACTCTGCCCTGTGCTCTGGGCTCTGGGGAAGCCGCTGAGGGGGAGTGATTTTGATCAGGTTTGTGCTGTAAAGCTGGCTCCTGTGACCATGGTTTGGGCTGACGTTTTCTGGCCCCGATAGACACAAGGGAAGTAGGTTGCTTTGGGATATATTTTGCTATCGGACAGTTAATGGATTGAGTAGCTATAGGAGGGATCAAGGCTGACTCCTGGATTTCCCGCTTGAGAGACTGGATGGTGGTGCAGCTTAATCGGGATGAGGAAGATGGGGGCATGGGGCGGTGGCAGGAATAGATTCTGGTGGGAAATCCAAGGTACGTTTTGAACATGTCTGAGGGTCATTCAAGGGCAGATGTCGACCAGGAAGCTGCGGGCTGAAGCTCAGCTCTGAAGGCTGGGCTAGACACCGGAGCCAGTGAAGGAAGTGTAGTTTCCAGCCATGGGAATGGGTGGGTTCTCCTTGGGTGGGGAGGTTGGGGAGAGACAGAGAAGAGGGGGAACAGAAGCCTGGAGTCAAACCCTGAGAAAACTCTCAAATCTAGAGATGGGCTGAAAGCACAGGAAAGGACGAAGGAGACATGGTCAGAGAGGGTCAGAGAGGGAGGAGGGAACCCAGAATGTGGTTCACAGAGGCCCCGGGAGGAGTCTCAGGAAGGTGGAAGAGGAGAAAGGAGCTGGTGGAGTCTGGCTTGGGAGCAGTGGTGGGTCCCCCGCCTACCGCCAAGGACGAGATCCTTCCTGCTTTGGAGCTGCTTGGTGTGGTGGAGAGAGAACTAAGAATCAGGTGAACTTGGCAAGATGGGGAAAAGGATACATTTTAGAATGACAAACTGAAAATGCCCTTATTAATAGTATTGTAATAATAATAATTATCATTATTACTTAATCACTACCACTTTGCGAGAGCTTAATGTCTGCCAGGCATGGAGCAAGCATTTTACATACAGTATCGTCCATAACCCCAGAACAACACAGAAACAGGTGTGTTTAAATCCCCATCTTATGGATAAGGATGCAGGGGAGTGTTTGGAAGTGCCAGGAAAGCTTTGAGCCCAGGTATGAGGGAGTCACTGTCCTAATTTCTGAGTTGGGGACTCGTCAGCCTGGAGAGTAAAGTGGCTGGTCCCAGACCTGGCCTTTTTGTTCTCTACCCACCTATCCTGCTTTCAGGTATTCCCTGCCTCCTTGGACTGAGAAGAGGACCATTGAGATGCCCTGTGTTGGGGCTTTGTTTGCTAACCCAGGGTGGGGTAGAGGGGGCAGAGTCCTGTTTCCTAGGGCTTTGTAGTTGTGTTTCCAAAGCTCTTTGCTGAAGGCCACCGGCAGTTAAGGACCTAGAACAGGTTTGAAGCAGGTTCTAGACCAAGATCTTAAGAACGGTCCCCTGAGTGGAACCTGCTTCCAAAAATGGAGGGCTTATTCCTGACAGTGGAAAATGGAGAAGCAGGGGACAGGTCAGCCCCGTCACACCCATTCCCTCCCGGTGGATGGCGATAAGTTTGTTAGAGACCCTCCTGAGGAAATGTTGGCTGAGACATCTGGTTCATTGCTGATGGAGTGTAATTAGGAATTCAGCTCAATGGACGTTTACTGGGTCAGGTTCTGTGCTGGGAATGTAGAGATGAACCTGCAGTCCTGCCCTTGACCTGGGGACGCTGAGGGTGGACAATTTAAGAAACTCCATGATGTGTACAGTAATACAATTAGGTGATGTGGGATTTGAGCCTTCTCCCAGTTATGGAAGCCTTTCTATTTTCAGTGCAAAGTACACTAATTTTTCTTTCTTACAAAATCCTAAGGCCAGTTAAACCTCCGAGGTGTTAAACTTGAGCAGGTGTTTTTGTTTTTGTTTGTTTGGCTTTTCTTTTTTTAGCAAGCTCTAACTTCCCCATCTGTAAAATGGCTATAATAATACCCATCTCATAGGTTGCTATGGGAATTTAATGTGATCAGCTGTGCAGAGGCACCCAGCACACTGTCAGGGTCATAGAGGTGTTAGTCTTCCCTCCCTTAGCGACCCATTGACCTTTGTTTATGGAAGAAATGGAACACCAAACAGTCCGAGAGCCCTAGTTATGTAAAATGGTCAGCTCTTTGCACTGGAGAATAACTCAGATTTCTGCAGATGATGGGAATTTGGCTTGACTTTGATTATTTTCTTTTTCCTGGTATTGGTTCCAAGTCTCTTCTTGTTCAGCCCAGAGGGTGGGCTTTGGTGTTTCCTAGCACCCTGGGATGCGGGAGGTTGGTGCTGAGTTCTGGCTCTCTTGGAGAAAATGGGGGTCGCCGTTGTAGTGACTCTTGAGTTGAGCCCTTATGTGTGGTCAGAGCCCCACGCACGGGGAGTCAGATTCTTCTGACCACACAGCTTGCCAAACTCACAGAGTTGTGTCGGCAGGGAGCACACACCACTGGGAGAGTTTGGCCCAGGGCTTGGAAGTTCGATTTGCAGAGGCCTCCAAAACCAGGAACACAGCTCCCGCCCCAGCTGGATCCCCGGGCAGCTTCTGGGAGCTCTCACATTTCCTGCTTCCATTCTGGCCGGGCACAGGCATGCCTGTGGGGCTCTCCTGCCTTCCCTTCAATGGTCTCAGCCCATCCAGGGGGCCACAGAAGCAGATTAAAAACAAGGAATAGTTGGAGGGCGGGCAGAAAAAAATTATCCCGCGTTTATTCTTCAGAGAGAGTTTGGTCTGCTCCTTTTTCAATGGGCCATGTTGTGGAGTATCAGTCTCAAATCAGCCCCATCTCACCCATGTCAGATCGGTTGATAAGACTCTCTCCTTCATATAATAGTTAGTCTTTGCCTAGAACCTGTGTAAAAGTGTTTGTTAGGGATGTTTGTTCACTTCTTTATACCTTACCATTTCCAAAACTAGGAGGTGATGATTTGGGACCCTAATTACCATGTATCCTGGTAAAACCTTGGTGTATTAAAGTACAGCTAAAACACTTTTAACAGCTTACAAGAACGTATCATTTGTAGAAAGGGAACATAGAAGTTATAATGACTAGAGCTTTCTGAGACCAAAGAGTTAGTATCGGAACCATAAATCAGCTGCCCTGTAGCGAGCATCTCAGCATCTGGCCCCCGTGGATGTGGCAGACACAGGTTGGGCCCTGTGTGGGGACCAGGTGTTGGGTGAGAACTGGACAGACAATATGAATAGACGGGCATTGGCCTTCATATAAGCCTGGAACAGACATGATCAGCTCCTTCAGAAACATAATTTGAGGGAAGCAGAGAAGATGCAATAGTGCTGAGTTTGAACACGGAGACCTGCTGGGAGGGTGATGAGACCCTGAACTAAGGGCTTAGGAGTGGGAACGGAGCAGGGTGGACAAACTGGAGAGGCATTTGGGGGTTGAAATCAAAAGAACTTGGGAGGAGTGTGTAAAAAATTCTGCTGTATGTATCTCAGGTGTATACGAAAAAGACCAAGAAAATAAGAATAGAGTAGAGACCTTGAATTTAAAGGTGCCAAAGGGATGTCAATGTGGAAATGTCCTATTGAAAATGAGAATCTGGATCCCAGGAGAGAGGTCAGGTTAGAGATAGGGATTTGCAGATCTTCTGTATGTATCTAAGAATGGAAGCCATGTGGATATGTGGAAATATACAAAAGTAATGGGACAGGTCCTCTATTTTGAGGGAGAGAGAAGCCAAAGCCAAGGAATCTGAGGGATCGGGGAGAGAGAAGGTGAGTGAGCCACGAGAAGGGACGGGTTTAGAGCTCAGCGGGGGGACGGTTTCAAAAATGAGCAAGAAAGCAGCAGTGTCCGGACCTGCAGAGGGGGAATAATTGTGGCATTAAAAAAGGTCATTAGGGCTTCCCTGGTGGCGCAGTGGTTGAGAGTCCGCCTGCCGATGCAGGGGACACGGGCTCGTGCCCCGGTCAGGGAGGATCCCACATGCCGCGGAGCGGCTGGGCCCGTGAGCCATGGCCGCTGCGCCTGCGCGTCCGGAGCCTGTGCTCCGCAACGGGAGAGGCCACAGCAGTGAGAGGCCCGCG